CCCATGATTTTATGTTGCAGTTTCCTACACATGAACTTCATTGTTATGTTCTTTCTATATGTGTTAGTATTTGCTACGGCTAATATTAGCATAGTTTAGTTAGAAAAGGAATCGAGACTATAGGACTGCATGACAGAGACAGATGATATGTAATGTACAAATAATATAAATCAGTCACAAAACGTGAGGAAATTTGCATTTGGTTCATTACTTGTAACAAGACTGTAGAGTAGAATAGACTTTTGTTAATCCCTTGGGGAGGTCCGATCAGGGAAATGATGGTTCTAGTAACACACTGCCATTCCTCCTTAAATACAAATGAGGAAAAACATACCAAGCAGATTCAAGTAGAAAATATGAGCTATTTGTGGGTTGAGCAGCAGAGTTGAGCATGTGGGTTGCACCCGTGAAAATTTTGCCAAATTGCTTATTCTGCTACTGACTCTGAGCTTCTGGTAGCACAGGTGCTGACAATCAGGTGGCTGATTGGTATCTTATTAGCAGCACCTGTGAGCAGCGGCCACTTGGTGTCTGCTCTAAGCATATAATCCCTGACTGATCCAGGTAGGGCCTGTGCCAAAGGGCACCTTCAAGCTGGTTCTCTGCAAACCAGTTGCAGCATTATTTGGAGTGAGCCGTAGTACCAGAAACAAATGGATGTGCTCAAGTTTCATATAACGGGCGACATTACATCAAAGAAATATTCAACCAAACACAAATGCCCTTATTTTTTATTACGTTTGTTATAACATAGCTCAGCAAAACCCCATTGCTTTTTACACAGGCGGTTAGTGCAATTAACCACACGGCGACTCGACTTTGTAAAGTGAAATACCCAGGGGGAAAGCAACTTTTTTGATGGACTATGGCAGCGTTGCTGCTCAGAAGTTTAATTGAGTGTTTCCAGACGGATTAACAAGAGGCTGAAAAATTAAGAAGCTAACTGAGAGGAGTATCTCAATCAGCATGCTGCCAGTGGAAGTTTTCTGACACCTGGAGGGAAAATTCCCTCTCGCTGTAACTCTCGCCCAGAGTGAATGTGAACATCTTTTCTTGGCTAGATACTGCCAGGGAGTTTATAATTGAGTTGAGACTCAGGAAATACTCATTAAGACGTTGTCAGTCGCCAGAGGAGACCACGCTGAATGTGTTTAGACACCACTGAGACTGCAGGTATCCCAGAGCCTTGCTCTTCTCCAGCTGGAGGGCAAAAGTATACGTCTGTGCTCAGGTGTGGATGCGTCTGTGTGTTTTGAAGCCAGCATGTGTGTATTCACATGTGGTTGTGTGCAAGGGTTTAATAAACTCACAGGTTCACGGAGCACCATCTGCCTGCTCGGCGTTCGATCGAACAGGAGCTGGTTGTGAGGGGCGGAGCTGGTTGTGAGGGGCGGAGCTGGTTGTGAGGGGCGGAGCTGTCACCGACCATGTCTGACAAACTATTGATAGAAACACCTGTTGACTGTCTTGCCTTTGCACCCACAGTCTACCACGCAGCAGCTTCTTGAATGAATGGAGTTGATGTCTGGAGTCTGTACTGGCTTCTCGGCTGGTCATCTGCACACAAACCCACAGAGCATTCTCATTCCCAACGCGCATACCGACCATCTGTCACGGCCCGAGGCGTGACATAGTAACGCCAGAGGTACCCTTGCACGTCCTTATGAGACGCTCTGGATTGTTAAAAGCTTTGCAGCTTTCTAATGTAGCTCTAACCTTAGCCATAACCTGACATTCATAGAACCCGCTCTTACACCTTGGACCACGTAACAAACAGACGATTTGTCACATAGCGTTGGCATGTTACGTGTTGGGATGAGAACGTGTCGAAACCCAATATAAAAACAGCTTTTTGGGTTAATTTAGCATTTACATGTTTTATTTTTAACGTTTTAGAGTAAAGTACGTAGTCATCCCAGACATTTAAATGTTCAACACTGAACATTGTTTTTAAAATCAATACAAGTGTGAACCAAAAACTTGTTTTTCACTCTGTCTGATGTAGGAAATGTGGGAAATATGGCACTGATAAGAATTAATAAGCATCACTAATCAAAAATACGTGTTGTCTTTATGGGAAAAATTAGCATAAAGCAGAAATAACCATTTAAATGATCCTGTGATATAATCTAAGAGTGGAATCGGCTTAAAATTTAATAGTTTATCTTTATAATAAGTGTAGTGTGTGTATATAATAATTTGAAGAAAGAATAGAAATAATAATAGGAAATAATTTAATGAGGCACGTGTACAACATATGATGTACAAAATTTAAGGGGAAAGCTCTATATGTATAAAAAAGTATTGATTGTTGACTAAAACACAAAGTTAAGATGGTGTGAAAGCTGTCGATATAAACATATAATAATAAAATAGAATTGATTACTTTAAAAGCTGATTTTTCTGGAAAAAACTGTAACATGTGAATAAATGTGATAGTAGCTGCCACCGTTCACCTGCTGCACGCGGCAAATTAATTTGTTTAGTTTAGAATTGGCAGAAATAAATTTTGACCTTGTTGTGCTGAAATCTACTTCTAATAAGAGGTGCTGTGATCTTCTCGCACTCGGGGATCATAAAATGCATCCCTCCGTGGTTTGGTGGCCTCCTTCAACAGGGTCATTTAAGTCAGGCAGTTGGGAGAACGGCCTTTTTGATGATATCTGCGCGTGCGTGTCAGATTTGCTATTTAGCTCAGTCTGCAGTTCCTTATGCTAAATTCAGGTTGAAGCGATAATTAAAATGAGCCTGAAGGTGTGTAGCCAAAGATCTCCCTGCCTGTCCTATGAAACTGATTAGAGCAATATCTCCAATGAACAGGCAAAGGTACACATACATGCACACACTGACAACTGCTGCTGCCACTCAGTTTGACAGTGAGCAGAGCACAGGAGGTGTGTGTGTGTGTGTGTGTGTGTGTGTGTGTGTGTGTGTGTGTGTGTGTGTGTGTGTGTGTGTGTGTGTTTGTGTAAAATCAGCTCCATCTGCTTTGTCCATATACAATAACTTTCTCACTAACAGCATTTAAAGATCAGGGGCACGATCAGATTCATAGGTGGTTAAAGGATTTAAGATTATTAATGCAACTGGAGAGAATGTGTCAGACAGTTTATTAGGTACAACAGTACTGGTTTGGACCCCCTTTTGCATTCAGAGCTGCTACACGTCAGCAGTCCTCTCCTGGGATCAGTTAACTGTGGAGGAAACTTGAGTACAGTGAATTTATTGTCATGTTGAAGAAAGCAGTATGAGATCATGTGAGCTTTGTGACAGGGTTCATTATGCTGCTGGAAGCATCTGTCAGAGGATGGGAGCACTGTAGCCCATCCACCTCATGGTCCGATATGTTACGCTTTCAGAGATGCTCTTCTCCAAACCTTAGTTGGTTGTAATAGCAGGTTATGTGAGTTACTTCTGCATTCCTATCAACTCAAACCAGCCATTCTGCTCTGACGTCTGACACAAGGCATTTAAACCCAGAGAGCTGCCACTCGCTGGATATTTGTCTCTTTTTCTGACCGTTCCCTATAAACCGTAGAGGTGGCAGCAGTTTCTGAAATAGCCAGAGCAGCCCACCTGGTACCGACGGCAACGCCACATCCAACTTAAATCACCTTTGGGATTCTCAGTTTGAACTTTAACAGGATGAACTGAACGTGTCGAAAAACGAAAAGCCATTTTTCTCTATATGATCCCAAAACAGACACAAAACAGAGACAAGTATAAGAAGGAAAAAGACCCCAATGATGAATGACGGGTTTCTTTTTTAGATACAAAATAACAAATATTGGGACAGTTACATAATTTACAAGTTCCAGGGTGTCCATCCATCCGTTTCTGTCCCGGGCACAGTGAGAGTCTGAGGTGACTCTACAGTGCAGGATCGCTCCACCAGCGTTTTCACTCCGACAGATGGATGAAGTTTATTAAGCATGTGACAGTTAACACCTCCAGTGGAGCAAAAACACTGCAGCGAATAAGTAAATGTTGGCTTTACCAGCCCCTTCTCCCTGCTATTCATACACTGCAGTTAACATTTCTATTAGACGCTATTTCAATGAATTATTGTTGCTGCTCTGATCATTACGAGTGTCACTCCCCCTCGCTCTATCTATGACCCTACGCTGTGTCACTGCATCATTCCATGTTTGGCACTGATCACCACCTGCACTCATGTATATATCTTTCTACGTAGCACTTTTAATTCTTATTCCTACTTTTATTTTTTCATGTCTATTTAAGTGCTATTTATGACACTATGTTTGCACTGAAGCACCGCAGCAATTTCCTAATGTTGTAAACCTGCTCAACATTTGGCAATAAACCCCCTTTCTGATTTTCTGATTCTGATTTCTATAAGCTATATTTCTCCAATTATTGTATAGATTGAAGATGCTGGCAGGTCACAAATGGATTAAATGTCTTATTCTGGTTTATTTTCAGGAGGTCTGCTTTATAACCAAGGCCACAGCCATCTCGCTAGCTTGTGAAGGACTTAATTAGAGTTTTAAGGCTGAATTAAAGTGCATTCAGTTTGGGGTTTAATCATCGACTCATTCTTTAAACTACAACATCTAATCAACAAAAATAGCCAGAAAGGCTGGAGAGGAGATTCTAAAAGCAAGGCAATACTTCAAACACAGTGTGAAGTATAATTTCACTAATGAGAGGGACAAAAATAGTCTTTTCACGAAGTCCGATGGCTGAGAGCACGGTGCAGGATGCGCGAAAAAACATAATGTGTGCTCTTGACCTTTCATTAGAGATGCAGCGAGTGTTTACTGGAGCTTTAACACTTGTGTTCGAGCAGGAAGGTGCATATAAAGGACCTCACAGTGATGTTAAAATTGTTAGCAACTTAAATGGCTCCTCGTTAACCTCATGGTGTTATTACTCATAGTTCCTTGAATATTCAGGTCGCTATAGATTGTCAACAACATTCTTACATCTTCTGCATACTTCTGAACATTTTTCTGTCTCACTGTGTCTTTTCTTTCCAGACCCTGCCAACCACAACATACGAGTTAGAGATCATGGCCAAGGACATGGCAGGAAGTGAGGTGGGCCTAACAGGAACAACCACTGCCACCATTACCATAACAGATAAGAACGACCATGCCCCAGAGTTCACACATCCGCTGGTGAGAAACTTCCCTTTTTTCGCTCTCTGCTTTTTCTTAATGCTCGCTTAGGTTGTTTTTGTCTGCTATGTGAGGTCACTTGTCTCCTGCCTGCAGTTTCCCACCAGAAAAGTCAGAGATTACTGTGGCTAACAAAGGAACTGCGTCTTTAAGAAGTTAGGACATCATAGTACAGATGCATCCCAGTGGCATCTCGCTCTGTTATGGAGACAATAAGTTATGACAATAACTGTGACACGTCAAATATAAACATTCAAACAACACCTTTTCAAAGTGAAGTAATAGATTACTACATATGTTTGTGCTCAGGGGAATTAACTGTACAACAGTCAGAATCATGCATATTTAGTTGTATAGTGTGAAAACAGAATTTGCTTTCCTTTTCAAGTATTTGTGATCTGAAACGTTAGAGTGTTGACAGTAAGGTTGTTGTAATACCACAATTTAAAAAACACCCAGGAAAATACTGATGCTTGATATTGTTTTGAGCGCCAAGAAGCTAAACTTAAGATAAATATTATTATGTCTTTATAAGCTTATTGGTTCTCTGAAGTTGGGCCTCCACGGTAGTCCCAGTTTCTCATGTGAACCCTTGGGTGCTTTAGACATGCATAAACACATCGTAGACCTAGTTGAACCTGATACACCGACGGCCAGAATGAACAACATAAACCAGCCGCATCACACATCGTCTTATTTTTTGATATTTTCAATTTTGCATTCAGTAAAACTGTGCTTCTTCTTTGCTGTTTTTCCGTGTTTTGTGCCCTGTGGCAGAGACTGAGCCTGAACTCTTGGTAATGTAGTAATCAAGGTTTTTTAAGGCAATGGTTTATGCAGAGTTGCCCTTTGCAGTGACTTGACAGATGGACTTTGTTTATGGAGACATACACTGGTGCTACACTCAGTTGCTTCTACACATACTTCATGTACATGTGTTTGTTCACCCAGCTCATGAACTTGTCTGAGTCAGTGTGACCTTTTGTTTTCTCATATGAAGATATTTCATCCTTCTCTTCAAAAGGTAAAGTTCAAGAAAACCCCGAACAGATGGCAGAAGGTGTGGGTGTGTGATGCAGGTGCAGAGGCCGCATAAGGAAAGCACTGAGCAGGAGGGGCAGCATTCCTTCTTTTGAATGAACTGGACTGTTGAGTTAAAAATCAGCAGAAAGTTAGTCAGGAAATAACATAAAACACATAAAATAACCGTAAAATCGTTCAACAGTCGGCGAGAGAGTGCCCTGTAGTACGCCCTCCACATGAATTTGTCATGAGTTGCCCCCTCGGTTGTTTTGCTGCCTTCGTGCCTCCCGTTCATCTCTGGAGCTGCAAAAACACGGAGAAAGAATGAGGTCCACTAGAATGAGGTCCACTAGATAAAGACCCACCTTCCACCTTAAGGTGCAGTTCCAACACTGAGTTGTGTGTTTTTTAATAGAAATGCCCACAGCTGTTGTCAGGTTTTAAGACACATACAACTTTTGCCCTAACCAAACCTCCCGCAGCCCTCCCATGATGCATCGAGGTGTCAGGGGAGCTTGTAAGGGGCGCAGCTCAGACGTGAAATGTTACAGCTCAGAGGGCTCGGCGGGGCCACGCAGAGTGCACCGTGTCCGTGTCCCAGTTAATGTTCTCATTCCTCACTGGGAAGAGATATGTTTAATGCCACGGAGAAATTGAGCTTTTATAAAACAAGTGTTTGAGGACGTTAAGCTCCCTGTGTAAATCCTTTACCCTGCTCTCTCCCTGACCGCTTCTCAACCTGCCCATGAATCATCTACGACTCCTCGAATGAACGCCATCATATTGTGAGCGTGCGCTGGTGCTAAGCCTGTGTCAGCAGCTGCTCTCGAGCTTTCACCATATAAATTATTCAGCTAAATATTCAAGGCTTTTCATAGAACTTTGTGCAGGCCCTCCTTAAGAAGACTCTCGAGTTGTCTGTTTCTGGTGACACCCCCTCCTGTAGACCACGTGTAAGCTTCAAAAGCTCCTTTTCCAGCTTATGAGAACTCACACAGCGAAAGATGGAGGACAGGATGAAAAGGTGAGTAAAAAAAAGAGAATTTTACTCATAGACATAAGTAGAGGCAAGAAAAGGAGAAAAATCACATTTTCAGGAGACGTTATGCTGTTATTATTCATTAAATGCACTGTTGCTGGATTTTTTTTGAGTTGACATTTTGTATGAATTCAGCAACATAATCCCCACGCAGGGAGCCTCTGTATTTTCTCAGACTTACCTACCACAGCTCTACGCAGAGAGACAACCATCAGAAAGTTTAGCTTCAGACCAGCACTCGTCTACTTGGATCAACCGAACAGAGACTGTTTTCCTTTTCCTCTGTAATTTGTAAAAAAGGCAGGTGAAAATCCTTTTTTCTCAATTTACCGGTCGATCTACGTCCCTGCCCTCACCTATGGCCACGAGCTGTGAGATCGCGGATACAAGCGGCAGAAATGAGCTTCCTCCGAAGGGTGGCTGGCCTCTCCCTTAGAGATAGGGTGAGAAGTTCGGCCATCCGGGAGGGGCTCAGAGTAGAGCCGCTGCTGCTCCACATCGAAAGGAGCCAGCTGAGGTGGTTTGGGCATCTGGCAAGGATGCCCCCTGGGCGCCTCCTGGGTGAGGTGTTCCAGGCATGTCCCACCGGGAGGAGGCCCCGGGGCAGACCCAGGACACGCTGGAGAGATTATATCTCTCGGCTGGCCTGGGAACGCCTTGGTGTTCCCCCGGATAAGCTGGAGGAGGTGGCTGGGGAGAGGGAGGTCTGGGCCTCTCTGCTTAGGCTGCTGCCCCCGCGACCCGGCCTCAGATAAAGCGGATGAAGATGGATGGATGGATGGATGGCAGGTGAAAAGAGCTTTCACTGGGTTCTGTGCAGGCCTAGGAAAAGCTAAGTACATGCATGGGAATGAATAAGATGAGGCCAAGTGCTGCTAATCAAATGCATTTTAACTGAGCAATTATCAGAGGAGGGGATGTCACAGCAAAGTCAGCCCGTTTTCAGACTGTGCAGTGCTCAGAGAGCTTCAGAGCTCAGTTAGCGTGTAAATGTTAACCTTCTCCCTGTAAAACAAGTCTGGCTTGTTTGGAAGGATATCCAGTAGAAATCACATGACTTTGGACATGCAAGACCAAAAGGGGAACATTTGTCCACAACGCACCACGCTATGTTTGGCAAAACACAAAGAGAACACATCAGCACTCAGACATCGAATACCAGCTGTCGAGTGGTGGACGGGGATGATCTGGGCTTGTTTTTGTAGCAACAGGACCCGGGCACCTTGCAGTCATTCAGTCTACCATGGAAATCTATTCTAGAGCCAAATGTGAGGCCATCTGTGCGACAGCTAAAGCTTCAAGTCCGGACAAATGCTGTGGCACAACCTTAGGAGAGCTTCCCATAAACAAATAGCCACAAGTTTGATCAAATAAAGCTACGCCGAAAAGACGAGCGGGATCGAATAGCTTCACAATGATGCGAGAGATGATGTGAGAGATGATGTGAGAGAGCGATAGACTCATAGAAAACAATCACTTCCAGTTATTGCTTTTAGTTGTGTAGTTAGTTTTTCACAGTACTCGTTCTGTTTCACTTACGCTTCACATAAACAAACAATGGAAATGAGCAAATATCACGTTTATGCTTTGAAACGGGATAGAGGTCAGTTACTGTGTTCCTCACGTTAGCTGTGATGCTACGAGCACGTACATCACAGCTGTAAAACTAAAGCACTTGTATCTGGTACCTTGGCCATTCAGGATATAATCCTTATTCATATCTGATGTCACATCTGAGGCTAAATCAAAATGTAAATTAAATGCATTTAAATCGCACGATACTGCAGCTACTGTTGATAAATATATATTTTTAGTGGATACAAAAACTATATTAAAACATGGCTCAGAACAGATTTTCATGTTATTTTAACACCGACACCAAACTTCTTCTAGTGCAGGAGATAATTGGAACAATCTTTCAAAAGTGGATAAAAGCACTGAAATGTGTGAATTTGTCGCTCTGGAGTCATGAATCTGAAAAACAAAATACTTTTAGACACTTGAATTTTCTTTTTTTTCCAACTTATGAAAAATGTATTTTACTCCCAAATCTAATCAGTGGATCAAAATTGGAGACTTTTCTCTTGAGTTGTTTCTGACTTTGTGGACGTCAGATTTACTACTTAAGAACGTCTTTATAGCTTCTTTTACTGGTTTTTAATGGAAACACCAGATAATTGCAAAGTCCATTTATTATTTAGGAATACTGAGAGGGGATTTAAAGTTACTTCCATGTTTTGCCACAAAATGAAAACAGGTCCAAGTCACAGCACACGACTGTGTTGGTTGAGGCAGCATCCTTTTTATCACTTTGATAACACTTTGATAACTGTGATTCATATCACTATATTTGAGCTTCCACTGCCAATTAATTCCTGTGTGTTTAAGTGAATTTCATGTTTTCCCAGGATGCAACTTCACCTACAGGACGCACTGAATATGCTCACACAAAGACAGATGATCATTTACACTTACACCCGCAGTGTGAGCGTAAATGATTATCACTGTTATCATTTCATACAGTTTTAATTCAGATTCCTCTTGCTGCAGTCTCACTAATCCACTCGCCAACCCACCAGCCCCTCACGGAGCCCCACTACAAATCCTTAGCCAGCTTGAATAAGCAGCTTCCACGAGCTGTAGGTGAGAGCTGGGAAGGCAAACAGGCGTCCAACCAGGAGATGTGGCTAAATAAAAGTATTAAATAAAATATTAAGATTACTGAAAAAGTGCTGGCAATTTATGTACATTTTTTTAAATCTTTAAAAATAATTTTCTTTGGAGAGTTGTACCCATTTTTAAAACAGGCCAGTGAGCTTTAATAAAAGGGAGTATTAGGGGTGCAACGATACACAAAATTCACGGTTCGGTTCGATACTTTGGTGTCACGGTTCGATATTTTTTCAATACAAAAAAAA